GTGAGTCGGCACCAACTCGACAGTATCTCTGAGTGAGATAGAGGTTAGCACATTTTTCAGGGGCATAAAGCTCCATCTCACATACTTTGGGCATGTGGCCAGGAGAGAGCGGTCCTTAGAGAAGGACATCATGCTCAGAAGGGTGGAAGGACAGCGCAGGAGAGGAAGGCCCCGGATGAGATGGATTGATATAGTGACTGGGACAATGGGGATAGGTATGTAGGAGTCAGTGAGACTGGCTCAGGACAGGGCAGGCTTCAGAGCTGCTGTACATAGGGTCACTGTCGGTCACAGGTGACTCGATGGCACATAACAATTTAGTCGTAACTAGCAGCATGCTTTGAGGGGAGGAAAGGGAGCAATGAGTCAGGTCTTGATCTATGACTTTCTAAATATGGTTGGTTTTTAGCAAGATAGTAAGGTTTTATCTTGTATGTTTAGACGTTCAAATTAAATCACACTTATGAACAGAAGAGAAAAGAACCAGTCAAGTATCATTACTCCCGAGGGGTCTCCCACAGTCATCACAGGCAGGTTTTGAAGGAAATATTCTCAAAACTTCTTTTCCTGCAAGATCAGTAACTGTTTTGTGCAGCAAGCCACAGAGTTAAAGGAATCATCAGACTTAACCTCATTGGGTCATTAGAAAGCAGAAGGAGTACATTCTCACCCAAGAGCCAGCGGAGTTCAAGGATTTGCCAACCTTTCAAGCTTCATGCGGTGAAGATTAGTAATTCGTTTGGGTTGTTGTGCATGTTTTAGCATTCATAAACTGTGATCAAAAGAATTTGTCTTCTAGAAACTTGATAGTTTGGAAAACTTTTAATTCCCATCTTTCATCTTTTTCCCCTTAATACTGTGGTTTTGTGGGGTTTATTGTTTGTTTTTTCCAAGCGTCTGAATGACCTTCCCTCCCTCTTGCTGTGTGATAGTTAAAGTGTTTGGAGTTCTAGATATTTGTCTTCCCATAAAGGCCTAAGATAAATATTGTTGATTAGACGATGTGTGTTCATAGGTAAGGGTTTAACTGTGTTAGTATAACCTCAGTGTATAGTTTGGGTCAGAAGTTAGTGAAGCTAACTCAAACCAATTTCAGCATGAGTTTAAGCCACTTAAATGTATTCAATCTCAAAGATATAATAGTGTTCTAAATCTCCAGGACAGACACACGGACCCTGGGACTGGAGCTGGAACAGTGCAGACATCAGTGAGCATATGCAGTTTTCTCTCGACACTGCTTTACTCACCCCTGAACATCATACTTTTCTCTGACTGGACTCTTGAACTTTATCATACTTGCTTTTCAAGCAGGCAGTATACAGTGGCACAGAAAGCTTACAGATCTGTGGCAGCCCATGCCTGTGGGGACTTAGTCTACTGCCAAAACCCCCAGGAGGAAGGCTGTGACTGACACCAGAGTCTGGTCCTGTCCCAGACAGGAGGCGCCATGGAGGGGGTTTGTAAGCTGCACCGCACTCCAGCTGTGGCTCTGCCATCATCATGGGCTTAGCTCTTGCCTCTCAACCTCATGGTTTGGTTTAAGTATGCTTGTCTTTTAATCTGGGAATAGCAGCAATAAATTTAATCCTATCATAGGTCTCCTCACTCCATGGTCTCTGGTGGCTTAGTCTGTAGGAAGCTGCATTGCTAACCCATCCACCAGCAGCTCCGTGGAAGAAAGTAGGTAATAAGTCTCCTCTCACAAGATCTACAGCCTCTGAAAATCCACTAGAGGGTCAGCTCTGAGTCAGTTCAGACTGAACGGCAATGAATTTGAAGTCCTTTTTTGCCTTTAATAGTGTACCTGAGTTCTTAGTTCCATCCAGTTATGAGTTGGTTCCAACTAGAAGGGCATACTGAACTGAGTATGTTTATGTAGTGCTTGGCTGTTGAAAGTGCTTTTGTACCAATTCAACACACTCTGTGAGAAAGGCATGCCATTTAACAGGTAAGAAAATAGTACTAACGGTGGGGAGGGAGGGAGCTGATGGAGAGCGCCCATCTTTCCTCCAGCTATCTGATGGATCCACTCAGGCAGAAAGGTACCTTTAGGTGAGAAGCACAACCCCCTAAAAATGACACCACGAGAGCTCCCTCAAAACATGATAGTATTTCACACTATTTCACATTGTTTCATACAATCTTTCTTATTGTTTTATAAAATCACCATTGACCTGTGTCTTTCCAGATGCCCACCATATCTTTCCCATTTCCTTTACTACCCCTCCCGCCCCCTACCAAATTTGCGTCCCAACTACTTCCCCACAGCTCATCTTCACCCCTTTCTATCCTTCCCCGCCTGGGATCCTCATACATGCATTTTACTAGTTATCTATTTGTACACTAATGGTATTATGCAGTATTTGTCCTTATGAGACTTAGTTCACTCAGCATAATGTTCCATTATGTTCCTCCCAAGTTATGTAGAGTTTTAAATCATCACTCCTGAGTGCTGCAGCATATTCCATTGTGTAAATGTACCACAATTTCTCAATCCATTCAGTTGTGGTTGGATATTTTGGCTGTTTCCATGTTCTTACAATTGTGAATAATGCTGCTGTGAACACTGGTGTACAAATCTCCCATTTGTGTCTCAGTTCAGTTTCTTCAGGGTATATTCCTAGCAGTAGAATAGCTGTATCATACGGGATTTCTATGTTCAGCTTTTAGGGGAAAGCACCAAACTGCCTTCCAGAGTGGTTGCACCATTTTACAATCCGACCAACAGTGGATGAGACTTCTATCTCTCCATATCCTAACATTTATTGCTTACTGTCCTGTTAAATTTGCCACTGCTACTGGAGATTGTATTTCATTGTGATTTTTATTCACATCTATCTTACTGCCACTTATTTTAAGCATTTGTTCATGTGTCTATTGGCCACCTGGATGTCTTTCTCTGTGAAAAGTCTTTTCATGTCTTTTGACCATTTTGTAATTGTGTTATCAGTCTGGGTTTGTTTTTTGGTTTGGGTTTTTTGTTGTTGGGTTTTTTTTTTCTGTGGAGGCCCAGTAGGATTCTGTAAACTTTTGTTAATTGGGCCCTTGTATGAGAGGGTACAGTCAAATTATTTTTTCCCACTCAGCAGTTTTTCTTTTCACCCTGTTGGAAAACATTTTTAATACACATAGGGATTTAATCCTTAGAATGTCCCATTCATCAATTTTATTCTCTCCTGGTTGTGTATTTCTAGCTGTATTTGTCAGCCTCTTTCTACCATAGACTAGGCCTTTTCTCTTACTATCTCTATGGTTTGGGGCTTTATCCCTAGGTCTCTGATCCACCTTGAGTTGATTTATGTGTGTGGTGAGAGGTGTGGATCCTGCTTCAGCTTTCTGCAGGTAGCAGTCTAGTTTTGCCAGCACCATTTGTTGTCGTCTCCCCATTTGATAGGCTTCGTTTCCTTTTTGAATTATCAGTTGACTATAAATAGGTGGGTTAATTTATGGGTTCTAGATTCTGTTTCATCAGTCTATGTGCCTGTCATTGTACTAGTACCATACGGTTACCGTATTGTAGGTTTTGAGATCAGGGAGTGCTATGCCTTCCACTTCATTCTTGTTTTTCAGAAGTGCTTTGCTTATTCAAGGTCTCTTTCATCTCCAAACCTGCCAATTGCCTTTTTCTCTTTGAAAAATGAATTTGGTATCTGCATTGGGATTGTGTTAAATGTGTAGACTGCTTTTCATATGATTATCATTTTCACTATACTGACTCTTGGTATCTATAGTTAACATTTTCCCATTTACTTAGGTCTTTTATTGTTTCTCGTAGAAGTGTTTTGTCATTTTCTTTGTAAAGGTCTTTTGTGTCTCTAGTTAGGTTTATTCCTAATTATTTCAATTTGTGGTAAATAGTATTACTTTCTTATTTTGCTTCTCTGTGCTTAGTTACTGTAGAGGAATCCCAGTTTTTTAAAAAAAATTTTTTTTGAGGTCTATCCCGATGGGGTTTTGCCTATAGGCTCACGTCGTTGGAAACGCCTCATAGAGCAACTGTGTGGTTTTGTTTTACTCACAGAAATATTTATTGTATCTGTGAGAAGAAACTACAATACAGATAATTTTTAGAATTATCCATGATCTAATAGTTAACTTTTATTTTTATTCCTTAGATGTTGGCATGTCCTAATATTCCATAGATCTGTACTTTTCTCTGGAATTAATAGGATAACAACTCATTCAGCATACAGGGTCACTGAAATGAAGAAGTAGAAAGTACTGGCATCCTAAAATGACCCTGAAGTGAGTGACTAATAGGGAGAAATAGTAGGAGAGAACAAGCATATCAGCATGCAGCCTAATGGAAACAAAGTGTGACAGCTCTGTGTCCAGTGGCAGTATTGCATGGAAGCACGTGGTGACCTCCAGAAATCTATATTGAAGGAACAGTAGTGGTTCAAGGGTTCTCTTGAAGATGAATCTTATATACAAGCTTTGGAGGAACTGTGGTGATATTGATGGACAATGGAATTGAAAGACAAAGCAACATTCATTAAATAAAAATTAATATTAAAAAAATTATTTTTAAGTGCAGGAGGGGAAGATCCTCTGAGGTGGATTGATTCAGTGACTGGGGTAATTGGGATGGGTGTGTCAGAGACAGTGCGACTGGCACAGGACAGAGTTTAGGGCTGTTGTACATGGGGTCACTATGAGTCACAAGCAACTCGATGGCACATTAACAACAAAAAATTAATTTTTATTTTATACTGGTTTGCTTACAGAGTCAGTACAGAAGGGACCAGTCCTTGGAAAAAGACCTCTTCTGGGAAAGGTGGAGGGGCGGAGAAGGCGGCCCCTCACAAAAATGGGTTGATGCAGTGACTGTAATGATAGGTTTGAGCATATCTGACACCATGAGGATGGCACAGGATAGGGCGAAGTTCAGAACTGTCGGTAGTGTCGCTGTCAGGAGATGACTGGATGGCATCTGACAACTACTGAGGTAAAAGTGTTGTCAGCTTTGTTTCTAAATGAATTCCGTTTTTGTCTTCCAGAAAATATTTTCAGAACCTGGAAGCTTATCCATGACAACCATCACCAAGCTTCGAGAGAGCTGCAGAGCAAAGCTCCTCACTCAGGGATAAGTCGCCCCGCTCCTGCACATTCCTCCACACTTTGCACTGACAACGAACCATTTCCAGACCTGCCACTTGACCGACGAACCATTTCCAGACCTGCCACTTGACCAAGTTTTACTGCTTTCCCTTTCAGTGTTGTAAATACTCTTCACTACATTTTAGTCATGATTTTTTTTTTTAAGAGTGATTTCAAATCATGTCATTCTAGGTTATGAATCAGGAAGTAAAAATTTGTAAAGAGAAATTATTTATACCTGACATTAATATATAAAATGAGATATGCACATTTGTATTTAATAAAGTATGTCAACACCAGTGTTTGATAATCCGATTTGAAATGCGAATCAAAAGTTAACTGTCACCATTGTTATGTCAATTAAAATATTGTTCCTTTTTCTGTGACAGAGCCTTTGCCTTAAGGTTGCACATGTAGTCAATGGTTTTGCTTTTGAAAAGTAATTTTTTGTCTAACCCTGAGTTCATACAGGCCCCCAAGTGCCTCAGACCAGTCACTGCACCACCCTTCTCCTCAGGGGAATAAAGGTGTTAAAATGGCTGCCTGAGGCTAAAGCTAACCAGACTCCCAGGCCTCTTTTTAAGAATTCTGCTGTTAAGTGGTTTCACTGGAAGACATGACATTCACATAGGACCTTCTCTACAGCCACCATATGGGTACAGATTTTTTCCTCAGATAGTGAAAACTTAGGGGGTAAAACCTCTCTGGTGGCAGAAATTCTAAATTGGGAGGCTGGGGAGGCTGTTTGTTGGTAAGCATATTTTTTCAAGCTGGCCTATGAAAATCCCAGCTTGAAGAGTGCCCAGGGTTTGGGAAAGAGCAAACTGTGCTTTCTAGTTCCCATACATACTGGCTAGGACTTGCTTCTCTGGCAGGACAGTCGTTGAATCTTCCCTATTGAGTCTCTTTTTCACTCATCAGTCTCCCGGCCTGAAACAGGGATGTGGATAAAGAAATCAGTTGTGTGGGCAAAAGGTCTGACACAGTGCTAAAAAAAGATGATTTCAAACTGTCCACTCTGCTAAGCTGTGGTTGCTGCTTTGGTCAAGATTACTCCTTTAGAACTCCGACGGGGCAGCCGTGTTCTCTGGGCTTACCATGAGTCACTGTAGACTGGATGCTAGGTCTGCTGTGCCGCACGGCTGTTCCCAAGCGTGCACACTCAGACGCTTAACCTCTTTGGTTACTTGTAAACATTTTGGGTGTGTTTTCCCCCCAAATAATCTTTCAAATTAACATTTATTTGCCAAAATCTTAGGGTAAATTTTGTTTTCCCATTTCATTCTGCATGCATTCTCTGTGGACTCTGCCTGTGCACCTCAATTTACTGGCTTCTTAAATTACAACTGGTCTTCCTAGATGTTTCATATCAAAGAAAGTTAAATAGAAAGAAGGTCTATGGTGAAGTCATTATAAATGCTAAATGTGTTTAGTAAAACAAGCAAGGTTTGACCACTGTTAAACTCATCTAACAGCAGAGCCTGGGGGATTACAAAAGCCCCGGTTACTGGGGCTAAAGTTCTGGGTTCCAGTTCCTATACCTACTTTCCTGTCTTACCAGACAGATCACTTATGAATTCCTAGGCACTCTCACCTCTAGCAGGAGACAGTGGATCTCAGTGCTAGGGTGGTACCTTTCCCGGGGTACAGAATGGTACCAATGCCACAAGCTTACCCATTAACAAAGCTGGAGTCAGGACCAAAATGGGATACTACCATTATTCATACTCAGACACAGTTGCTAGGAAGTGGGAGGATACCTGCTGTGCTTGCTTAGCTAAGAGTTTAAGGAGTTGAAAAGGATTGTGGAGATCATGGCTGGAAGACCATGTCAGCCGCCTCCTAGTCCAGCAAAGCCACAAAATTGAAGTGCCATGGGTTGAATGGAGTCTGTCTTCACTGCAGTGAGCCTCAGCTCTGCCTTGCTCATGTGCCCACAGTTTATAAAGGCTACTTCATAAACCAGCAGGGTAGTATACCTTCTGCACTGTAGAGTGAGGATCTCCCCTGGGTAGGACACGACCTCTGCAAGGCATGGTTTAGCACAGCTGTTTAAACCAGGGAGCGGAATCGGGAAGCTCAAATTCCAGGGGCTGCTTGACAGGCTTTTCTCAGATTTACAAATCAGGATCTTTGAGATTTTTGTTTAAAAAGAAATAAATTTAGCACTTAGGAGTGAGTTTCTGAACAAGGATTTTCATATAGGACTGCTCTAAAGTCTTTGGAAAATGTCCATCTTCCTGAGGGACCAGCTGAGGTGTGGCCTGCAGAGGGCTGTGCTTGTTGTTGTTGTTATGTGCCGTCAAGTCGTTTGCGACTCACAGCGACCCTATGCACAACAGCCCTAAACCCTGCTCTATCCTGCGCCAACCGCACTGCCTCTGACACACCCATCCCAATTACCCCAGTCACCGAAT